CACGAAGGACAACTTTTCTGACATGTCTCCCTATCAACTCAAGACGTCGAAGTATGGAAAGCCAGACCACTACGCCATACCACTATATTACGTACACTTCCAACTACTGGATGATTTTATAACTACCATAGTAGGAGCTCATAAGCTGTGTATAAAAAGAAAACACGATGACGAGACAATAGGGAGGGAGAGAAGAAAGCACAAAAAGGCAAAGAGACAGAGAGACTAATGTAATGAGCAATGTATAAAGAGAATAGGAAGAAAGCAGACGAAGACCATTCATATTCAAAAAATGCATAGTGTAATTTTTCTCTTTTTTCTTCCCCCTTGTTGAGCCATTTGTATCTGATATAGGTATTTCACCCTTCACTTTTACAGCAAGTGAATGTATTAACAATGTGTCTATGGGTTCATTGGGATTGATTTACATAGAAATAAATAAAAAGCTCTGTCCAAGTGTTCTTATCACGTCAGCTTATTGTTTGTCTTCTTGAGTTGCAATGGTTTATTCTTATGCATGTCTTTTTCATAATTGTTATTCAACTTAAGAACCCCACAAGCATCTGGCAGCACCAATGGAGAACCATCCACCTCTCTTCTTTTTGTTACCTCTTGATGGACTCGAGGTTAAATAGCTTTGAACTCCACCTTGAAGACCAAGATTAAATGTGTACTAATTACTTCATTCATGGTAGGAACCATTCATGTTCCTATAAAGCTGGGTACTGAATCATCGTCTCGAGTTGCAAATGGTGTTGCTTAGTGTCTCCACACTACTTCCAATTAATGCCCTGAGTGCCATCATGCATAAAGTTACCTCTCCTGGAGATCCATCAAGGATGATGGTGTCCATATCATAAATGTGCTTGTGGTCACCTTGATATGAGCATCACAGGATAGGTTGCCTGAATCATAACTTTGGTGATAACCAAATTAGGACACAACCACGAATGGATATTGTGGTAGAGAAGAAGGAGAGTATCAGGAAGCTTCACGACCTGTCACCCTTGAATCTCTAAGGTCAGTGAATAGGGTCTCTGACCTCGCCAAGTTAACATCGAGGTCGATTACTGCCAATCATGACCTCTACTAAGGGTGGTCAATCCTACGAGTTTGGATGAGTGCCGTTCGTCAGAATAGAGTGTGCTTCCACTCAATCATTTCCAGCCAATGGTTTCTCTGAGCTAAATAAACAGCATTTGCAAGGCCGGTCAGAAGCCTTACAGGTACCGAGTGCGGTTTAAAAGAAACCTCCTCAGGTAAAGCGTCCACGAGTCCAGTCATGTTTGCCCTAACATTACCACACCACCTGCAAAACAAACCCCTCAGTAAGGGATGGCTATAGGACCCAAGCTCTATGTAAATATAAAGGGGGTATGGACCATAGTTCAAGCCTTCAACAAGCAACTAGCATGACCAATAACTATAGCTATACTAAGAAAGGTCAAGCCAATGTAAGTCATCCATTATATATGAGTTAAAACATATCCCTGTAAGGGATGACTATATGATCCAGGCTCTATGCGGGCATAAGGGAGTATGTACCATAGTTCAAGCCTTTTTAGCTAGCAACTAACTAGACTGATAACTATAACTATACTAAGTGCCGTCCAACCAACATGAGATCTACAATATTAATAAGCCTTATGTAGCCAGTCAACCTTTCGAGATCCAGATACTATGCAAGCAAGCAAGCAGGGGGTAAGAGCCATTGCCAATTCCATGAGCATGCGACTAGCTGGGTCCAAGGAAAACAAGAAGTTCAAGGCAAGATTCGGGCCCTTGTTAACTATTACATCAAGTGTGGCTAACTCAATTATTGATCAAAATGAAGGCCTAGTACACGTTGATTATTGCACTACAAGAATCAAGGGATGGCAAGGTCAAAGACTCGCTAGAAGGCAGCTATCAAGAAATATCAACTCTCTTTTTAGCAATGCTCTTCTGGCATCTCAGGATGCTACCATATTGCTACAACATAATTGCTTCTATCCCTTATGAGCCAAAGCCCGCTGGGAAATGATCATAGATGCTGCCTATTGTAACATCACCCATGGTAAAGCTGCTAAAAGGGTGTAGAGAAAACTCACAGCCAAAGGTGGAATAATAGGGGAGCCGTTGTAGTTCAAAAGCCTCCCTCTTCCCCTGTCTCTCGAGAAGACAAAGACGAAGGAACTGAAACATACTCTCCTTGAACATATGCCCAGGACAAATATCTAAATTTTCTTTTTCAGTTGTCAATAACCTGCTCTGGGAACTAGAAACATGAGCAAGGCCGCTTGATGACACTTTCTCTCAATCCCTCATATCCCATATGTTAAAAGGGAAAGAGTTGACGAAAGTTTTAGGAGAGAGTTTTGCCTCGTCGTTGTTCAATTGCTGCTCGATGGCTAGTGCACCAAACTGCCTGAGGATTATCACAAGAACTGCCTGAGGATTCTCACAAGAGGCTCAAACATAAGCACTGCTCGCCAAGTAGCGGCTTGAACTACTAAAATGAATGCTTTAGCCTCACAGCCATCTATACCAGTTGTTCTGATTAGCATCCAAGTCTGTCGGTGACTAGCACACAGAGTGATTAGTCACATCCCGTGCAAATCCTACCGATTGTGCCCCCAGCAGATATATAATTCATGATAATGGAGTTGCTTAAGAAGCTTTAGCTACTTGTTCTCGAACACTCAAAACGTTCACGTTCCATAAATCCTACACATTATACATTGATGAAGTACTGTTCCCATCAGGATATGAGTCTCCCACATTCGAGGACTTGGGACTGGCTCTCCATAGGAACATTTTATAGCTGATGGTGCCACTATATCATCAAATGGATATTTGCTGCTCAAGCAATTCCTCTGATACTTACTGGAGTGGCCTTACCTTGGTACTCAAGACTTCCATCAGGTCCTTATTTTGGAACAAATTAAAAAGTTGTTTTAATTACAACAGCTAGACTATCTAACTTCTCTATGGGCGAGGTTCAAAAAAATGATGATCTGATCCAGATTGAGTATCGGAGGCACTGCTTTGGATCCGTTAATAAAATGGGATCCGGCCGTGTCATTGCAGTGGATCGGTGCCATCTGGAATTTTTGGAGTAAATTTTTTAACAATTTTTTTATAAAAAATGTTGTGGTGGATCCCACCAGCTCCACTCATACTAGAAAGTGTCAACACGCTAACATCATGTTCACCTCACAAGCACCATTTGTTTATTGGTAATGTTGAAGTGGTCCTTTTGTGGTGGTTTGCTCTTCCCAAATCCTTCATGTGGGATTGCTTCAGGCATTCAACATGTCCAATTACCAAGGGCAAGTGCGCCATTGATAAAATAATTCAATACATCATTTAGGATTGTGCCAAGTCTTTAAAAAAAAAAGGGCAAGTTCGTCAAAATAAAATTTATTTTACTTTTTTAGATTAATAATATTTATTTTGTTTTTTATAATTTACAAAAAATAAAAATACATATAGTTAAGTTTTAAATACATATAATTACGAAATTAAATTCTATATAATTAATTTACAAAAATTAATATAATTATATTGAAATTATTATTGTTTATTTATCTTAGTAACTCGTTGAACTTATGTCAATATCATCATGTGAATATGATGTCATTAAAATTATGTTAACATCATTATGTTGAATGAATATAATTATGTAAAAAATGTTAACTTATTTACTATAATTATATTAAAATTGTTATTGCTATATTAAAATTTTCATTATTATAAATACATTAAAACATTATATAATTTAATGCATTAAATTGCTGAATTGTTAATAAATTGTTATTTTTGTATAAATTATACTATTTTCATATTTAATATAAATTGTAATTCAAAATTAATATTTATAATTTTCACTTATATTGACGAATGACTTATTGTTAATTTATTATTATATAGTGACTTATTTTATAGAGAAATAAAAACTTTAGGCCGAAACTTGCTGATTCACCGATCCGAGACGCCGATCCATCGATCCAACACAGAGTTTGGGTTGGATAATCCGGGTGGCTTTTTGGTCCTTCAAGCTTTTGCTTTTATACTTAAGAAAATACTATATATGATGAGGGCTTTCTCTAGAGTGGATCAGCTGCCAAGAGGAAGTACTATCTTGTCAAGTTGGAGGTCTGTCATCTTAAAAGAGCAGCAGGACTGAGCATTAGAAGGCTATCCTTTGTAAATGAGGAGAACGGCAGGTTTGGGTATTAGAAGGCTATCCTTTGTAAATGAGGCCATGCTAACAAATTGGTGGGGGAGATGGGGCTAAAGTATTTGAAGATAGCTGGAGGGGCAGATGAATTGCAGTTGGCTACAATGGCTTCCATGGTTATGTGGATCTAAGTGTAGTAGTAGTCTGGGGAGATTTCCAAAGACATTGTATATAATTGACACTTTTAAGCCCAATCAGGCCATAGAAGAAACACAAAAGCATCTTAGTGGGTCAAACCTGAAGAGGGATGGTTGAAACTGAATTTTGATGGCAGTTCTAGAGGATAGGAAGGGCTGGGTTCTAGAGGATAGGAAGGGCTGGAAGTAAGGATCTGCCGCTATGAGATAGTTTGTGCAATAGAACACTCAATCTTGCTGCACCCTTGCTCTGTCAATGAAGCTGAGCTCTGGGCTCTTGGGCATGGAGTTCAGACTCCATGAATGGAATCTCTTGGTACCTAGATCTTTTGGAAACCCCTTGGTGATGGAGTGGCATCATGGATAAGATTCGGTTCCAGCAGGCTGCAAGTGAAGTTAATTTCCAACACATCAACCTGTGAAAGAAATACTACTACCAATCTATGGGCTAGAGAAGGTTCATGGGCTTCTACTCTGGTGCGATGGATCGTAAGGTTTGTAAGTTCACCTGTTTCGTGTTTCTTATGCTTTTTCCTGTGTTTTGTTCCACAATAAAGTACACCTTAAATATTTAGTGCAATTTACATTAACATTATAAAAAAGAATACTTTTCATGCTTATTTCTACAATACAAAATTCCATAAGAAACACATAGGTGGGTGCCCTCAACTGACACCCATCATTTATCACCTCATATTTCCTTTTTACTCAACAGTTACAGCGGCTAATTATTTACCACAATGGAACAGAATAACTTATTTTCCAAAAATTTCTGCATATACCAGCCATCGTCTTAACATGGCCCTGCCTAAATTGTTACAAGAAGCATTTAAATCACCTCTCTAGTGTACAACTGAAACTCCGTGCTGCTCATTTTCCTCGTCTTTCAATCCCGTGTAATAAGAAATCATTATGATGGCCACAATTCTCAGAAGACCCCATGAGACTTACGGGCAGCCCGATGCTCACTCATACTCCCACTCGATAACCCCCTAATTCCACGCCAAAGCTGCCTGCTCCTACTTGTTCTCATTAAAGGCCCCGAACTCGAATGCCTTCTAAAAGATCCTGAAAGCTCCCTCACAAGCCTTGCCGACGCACTAAAGACATCTGAACCTGATAGCCCCCTTTCGGCTTCCATTCCAGTATCATAACAATCTGCTGAGACAAAGGATGTTGTATCTTGAAGCCCAGTGGAACCACCTTTTATTTCGATACCCAATGTCGAGAGTCCCTCTTGACTATAGCTTCCGGAGCCACCACCTTCTCTCTCATCAGAGTCATGGCACACAAGCTTCAAGGCTTGGACAACCTCACCCATGAATGGTCGGTGCGAAACCTCGGGTTGAACGCACATCGATGCTATGGCCGCAACCTTTGCCATGCTGTCAAAGGGGTATTTATTAACTAAGGCAGGGTCAGCAATCGTGTCAAGGCCCTCTTTGCTTGTGAGGAGAGGGCGGGCCCATGTGACTAGGTTCTCTTGGCCTTGGGGTTGGCTCATATCGACTGGTTTACGGCCTGTTAGGAGCTCAAGGAGGACAACTCCATAGCTGTAGACATCGCTCTTCACAAGGAGATGCCCTGTCATTGCATACTCGGGGGCGACATACCTGAACAAACAAGAAAAAGAACAACAAAACCCACGTTTTACTTCCTCTATCAAAAGGACTCTGAAAACAGACAAAATGGAACCCCTTTTCCTTTTTCTTTCTCATTTCTTGTTTTCGGGGTGGTGTGATTAATATCGAAATGGCTACTAGAATCTTGCGTCACTCATTTAGTGAATTAGAAAGTTGATACTTTCAAACATTAATTAAACGGTCTAATCTTACGTTCCATATAGTTTTACCCCTTAAAATGCAACTAATAATTATAGATACTTAAGCCAAGGAAAAATTCAGACATCCTTTTGAAAACAATAACAAGTCTAGGCAACATTTTGAAATTTCAAGTTTGTTGAGCACCTGCATTTATCTGGTGCTCCAGGCACCTATTTGATAGTTACTGTTATTTTTTTTAACTTTCTTCAGGATGTAAGCTTTGTTGAAACCCACAACCACCTCAATTTTGGAACAAGCTGCACCTCACTTGAAATACAGGATTGAACCCAATTAAACAAAAGAAAGGGTTATCTAAAGCGACAGGTTTAGACTAGATACCCAAAAGTCCCCATAACACGTGTTGAGATGTGTTCGTTCCCCCCTTCTGATGCTGCTCTGGCCAAGCCAAAATCAGACACTTTGGGGGTAAAATCATCCTCCAACAAGATGTTACTAGACTTGAAGTCTCGATGAATTACACGGGGACTTGAATCTTCATGGAGATATGCAAGGCCGCGAGCTGATCCAAGTGCAATCTTCATCCGTGCATTCCAATCTAGCGGAGAGGTTTCCCTGTCCACACCTGAAGATAAATACAAATCATAAATCTTTCTTGAAATGCAAAGAAACTGCAAGCAAAAAATCCATGCAGAACTACAAACCATCACCACACAAAAAAAAAGAGTAAAAAAAAACAGAATAAAAGATAAAAAATACAATATATACTCTTATTAAGAGCAATATGATCATATTGTTCCTGTAAGGAAGTATGAGAAGGGTCCCAGCAATGTTTAAAGAGAAAACATCGCATGCCTTCTACACTTTCTGAAGTGGGTTTTTAAGTTTTTTTAGGGATTTCAGGGTTTTCTTTTGTTTTTAGGATTTTAATGGTAGTCTAGAGAAGTAATTATAGATCTTGTGAAATTATTTATTTGACTAGGGGTAAAAGTGTCATTACAAATTTTGTGTTAATAATTTATAATTATATCAGAATTAAGATTCATAATGGACAAGGTTTTAGCTATAAATAGGGGCCAATATAAGATTTTAGAAGCAGAGCTGAATATTATTTTGTTTAGAATCCTGGTTTCAACAAAGAGCTAGAAACTTGGCTTTTAAGCTCCACTTATTTCAATGTGAGCATTAGATCCATGATACCTTTATTCTTGTGATTTTACCACTACATCAGTTGGTATTAAAGCAACTTGTCTCCCAAAGGGTGCCATGACATGTTGCAACTTTGTGCGATGGCTGCTGAAGGAGTTCGAAGTGGCCGTGTTTGTGGTGCTGGTGTTGAAGTCACATTGCAGGAGGGATTGAGAAACTAGAATATGAGGAATGCCAGAAGCGTTCAAAATTGATGGAGGTTAGAGGAGATGATGCACAATGTGCATCCAACAAGCTTTGATCAAAGTTTAGTAGTTCATGACATTAGATCTAAATCCAATTTTAGTGATGGTTCCTTTTAGCAGATTTTAATTCATCTCATGACTAGGGGAGAGGTAATCATGTTGAAGTGTCAGGATAGTTTGGTTTGTGATCTCAATGAGAAAGACCATGAAGGAATTTTATTCTCGACAAATCATTTACATAATGAGTAGCTTCTAGATTGGGACTCGCCGTTGATGATTGACATGTGGTCCAGAGAGAACTTGGATTTTTCAAAAATTTCATTTTCAGATGAATAGAGTTTGAGGAGGAGCATCAGGAGATAATAGATTTTGAAGGGGATGAAGGGAACCCTAGATGGGGAGGCGAGCGAGGACACCCTAGATTCCTATCTGGCCTGGAAACCATGGGCAAAAATCTAGTATTGATAAAGAAGGGTTTGTTCTAGCACTTAACCAGGGCAATTTAGTAGAATCGAGCACGGAAGGTGCTATTAGCACGGAGAGGCATGAAAGCCACCATGAAGTTCGTATTTAGTATTAGAATTCTACGAGCTACAGTATGAGAAAGATTATGGGCTCCGTAAGAACTCAAGCACCCAGGATTTTCTGTTAATGAGTTTGCCACTTACGATGCCACCTATGTGGTTGATGATATTTCACTTGATATTGAGATTCAACAGATAGATGCGTGATTTTGAGCACCGCACCTTCAACAAAGCAGAACTTTTCGCTCATAACTCAAAATCATTATTATTGGTACTCATTAAAAAGCATATTCAAAGCACAACAATGTCTAAACCGATTTTGTTAGTTTTCTCTACTGGTTTTGTCAGAAGAAGCCTGTAAAGGCCCAAAAATTGAGTTTGAAACTTCCAACATGATTTTCTATGTGAGTTCAAGGGTAGCCAAATTCAATATATTTTAGTCAATTTCACAATACATGTATCAAGATCAGTTTCTTGAAAATTTCTTTGCACCACAAATAATCTTTGAGTCAACAAAGTAGAAGAAGATTGAAGAAGACAAAAGTTTTGATGCAAGATTCATCTTAGCCTACTTCAAACACTTGAGGACAAATTCTGCAACTTGCATAGTCTAATGTATGACAAGATGTCTTGTATTTTTAAATTTTTCTATTAAATTTTAAGGATTTATTTTGAGTTTGTTTTTGGGTTTATAATTTTTTTTTTGGGAGTTTTCCTTCTTTTTTTAGTTTTTAGAATTTTAGGAACAGTTTGGAAGAGTAATTAGAACCTTGTGGAATTATTGGTTCTAGAAGTACCATAACAAAATTTTATGTTTATTAGAAGTGCTAATTATATTAGAATTAGGATCCATGAGGGTTAAGGTTTTAGTCATAAACAAACGCTAGTATGGGATTTAGAAGCAAAGTTGAATATAATTTGTTTAGAGTCCTGATTTCACCATAGAGCAAGAAGCTGCTTGTAAACTTCCCTGTATCTTTAATCAATTCATTAGATCTTTGGTTTCTTTAGCTTGTAATATTTATCTGTTGCATTACTTTCATCATGGATACTGATAATGGGAAACCATTTAGCGTTTGGCAGGAGAGAATGATTAACATTTACTCAATAAGTGCAGCTAATGTGTTCATCAACACCACTCACGTATTAGGCGACCTCATCAGTTCTATAATTTTATAATAAAACTAGTAGAGCCAACTACAGTTACTGAAGTCGTCTGCTCTAGATAGTGATTCTGGTTCAAAATCATGATTCTGTTGTGAAGGAATCACTATAGATCCCGATTCCTGGAAGCTAGGAATCATTTTTTTAATCTCATTCTGATGTCTTTGGAATCTATCCATCTCACCAAATTTTGCATTTCATAGGTACAGTAAACCGTGATTCAACCAATATGAGACCTCGCTTTCAATTTTTAGGAATAGTAACCAGAGATATTTGAAATCTAGGTCCACAACATCAAAATAAGTCCACCATGGCCAGTCCAACCAGGTCATGCTGGTCCCAAGCCCGCAGAGAGGGAGAGGGTTGTCTTAGATAGGGCAGCCAGCGTAAACTTGGCCACATCTTTTCATGAATGATGAACCTATGTTATATGCTCATGCTAGGGCTTTCCCTGTGAGCATCGTGATGTATCAGCAACCAGGTGTAGTGAGAAATGAGAAGGGTTACCTAGGCACTCCTTGGGAGCAACGTGCCGCAACGACGCTCGATTGCGGTGATAAATAAGGCTAGGGTTCCTATGCCATTTTGGACAGGAGCAGGTAAAGAAGCTAGTCCAAGAGAATAGGATTTGTCTAACCATATGGAATATAGGAACTCTAACAGGTAAGAGTATAGAGTTACTGGATACAATGAGGCGAAGGAGAGTTTATATACCATGCCTACAGGAGACTAAATGGAAAAGGACAAAAGCTAGGGAAATTGATGGATATAAACTTTGGCATATAGGAAAGGATAATAATAGAAATTGTGTAGGCATAGTAGACAACGATTGACAGGATAAAGTAGATGTCAAAAGAATAGGTGATAGGCTCCTATTAATTAAACTTGCGTTAAGGGAGCAGATAATTCATGTAATTAGTGCTGAAACACCACAAGTAGGACTAGATGATAGCAGCAAGAGACAATTCTAGGAAGACATGGAAGGACTAGTCCAAAGAATACCAAATGGAGAGAGGCTTCTTTTAGGAGGTGACTTAAATGGTCATGTAAGAAAAGATAGTAAGAGGATATGATAGGGTACATGGAGGATATGGTTTTCGAGATAGAAATGAGATGGGTGATATTCTGGATTTTTCCTATGGCTTAAGACCTAGCAATAACAAACAGCTACTTTAAAAAGCAAGATAAACATTTAGTAACTTATAAAGTAGATCATATGAAATCCAGATAGACTTCTTTAATCGACCATCATGTAAAGACTATAACATTACCCCAAGAGAGAGTTTGCCCACATAACATAAGCTCATGGTGATGGATGTTTGTATAAAGAGATGGAAGAGGAGTAACTGAGTCCAGGAACTAGGTGATGAAATTTAATAAGGGAGAAACTAGAATTATTTAGGAATAAATTCGTAAAAGAAGGAAAGAAATTTTGATAAAGAAACTTAGTGGTGGAGTGATGAGGTTCAAAAAACCTATTGCAAAAAACGATCATATTAAAATACCTGGTAATGTAATAGAAATTATCAAAACTTAAAAGAATATAAAAAAGCTAAGAAAAACACTAAGATAATAGTAAGTAAGGCCATACGATGACCTATATAATAAACTACGAATAAGAGAAGGAAAAATAGATGTCTTCAAACTAGCAAAAATGAGACAGGGAGTGTAGGTATCTAGATCATATTAAATGCATTAAGTGAAGATCAGTGGGTGTTGATGAAGGATGACGAAGTCAACAAAACATGGCAAAGTTATTTTCAATAATTGTTAAATGACGAACACTTTGGAAGCAACAACGTTAGGAGAAACCTTCAACATAAATGAGGTCCTAGGTAATAGATACATTTACAGGATTAAGATACATGAAATGAAAGAAGCATTGACAAGGATGAAGGTCGGATAGAGGTATCTCGATAGAGGTCTAGAAGTGCATGGAAGAGATTGGCATATTGTGGTTAGCCAAGCTGTTCAACAGGATGTTGAGAACAAAAAAAATGCCTGACGAATAGAGAAAAAGTATCATCGTACCTCTTTACAAGAACAAAGGAGACATACATAACAGTATGAATTATCGAAGGATCAAACTTATGAGCCACATTATGAAGCTGTGAGAGATAGTGATTGAGCAACGACTAAGGCTTGAAACGAGTGTATCAGAAAATCAATTCGGCTTTAAGACAGGGAGGTCAACAATTGCGGCTATTTTCCTACTTGGACAATTCTAATTGAGAAGTTTAGGGAGAAGGGAAGAGAACTCCACATGATCTTTATTGATTTAGAGAAAGCATATGACAGGGCACCTATAGAGCTAATTTCGTGGATGTTGGAAAAGAAAGGAGTTTCTAGAAGATATATTGACGTGGTAAGAAATATGTATACGAATGAACGCTAACTAGTGTGAAGACAACTATTGGGGAGACAAGTGAGTTTTCAATGACAGTTCGCTTACATCAGGGGTCAACATTGATTTCGTAACTCTTTGTTTTGGTTTTGGACGAGTAAGCCAAGCATCTGCAGGATGAGGTATTGTTGTGCATGTT